TAACTCCCGGTCGGGCGCCGCGAACGCCGATGAAGTTGAGCGCCACGTTCTGCTCCTGAACCACAAACGCCTCGTCGAGCGACGGCTTAACCATTTCCATCATTTCCGGGTCTTCGAAGTCGTAGATTATGTGTTCGAGAATATCTCTGTCGGCAACGAATCCCAGCGCTCGGAACACAATCATGATTGGGATCTCTTGTTTGATGTACGGAATGATAGCAATGATACGCTGACCGATGGCCGTCTTCTTCCCGCCCTGCGCTCCACGCGATAACATATTCACCCACAGAGTGCTCGTCGGTCGGGACGAGTGCTCAATACAGGACCGGCACTCGGCTTTGTAGACATACTTGGAGTCCTTCAGCGAGAAGACGTACACAGTATTGGTGGCCATCTTCTCCTGAGCGATCAGCACCTTCTCGGAGCCGTTCACAATGAAATAGCCGCCCGGATCTAATGGACACTCATTCAATTCAGTCAAATCCCGATCCGTTAGTCCACTCAACAGACAGTAAGTCGAGCGCAACATAATCGGGATTTTGCCGATAAATGTCTTCTGGTGTTGCGTTTCGATGGGCTCTTCGCCCTCTCTGATGATGGTTTTGGTGATATCGACATAGAGTGGCGCCGAATACGTCAGATTGCGGAGTCGGGCCTCGTTTGGCATCATTGGTGTCGGCGCTCCGTCTTTCTCCCAATGCGTGGGTTTAGACAAATAAATTTGTTCAAACTTCAGGACATAGCGGTGCGGGTTCTCCACCTCTCCCGACGCGTGCTGTGCCTCAGCCTATGGGACACAACAGACAGACAATGCAAACAATGGTTACGCAAACGATACAGCAATAGAGACGGGTCGGCGGACCAGACGGTCGGCGCCCATCACCTCCTCGTCGATTGTCTCACCTGGAGTTCAATGGCGGACGAGTCCTCGACAATGCGTTGGACAGACATTTGGATGAACTCATCGAAAGAGTCCAACTGTTGGCGGACGAGACCCTTCTCGTCGAAGTAGGAGCTGATGACAATCCAACATGCTTCCTGCCACACATCTGACGTGATCTCCATCGTCTCCTCCTCTCCCAACCCCTCCTCTTCGTCATACATCGTGTCACAAGTGGTGTCTTCTGCCCTATTCTTCGTGAGAGTGTTTCAATGGCCGACCGATTCAGTCATCAAATGATTCAAAGCATTCAATGAACAGCTTTTGAACGAAACGTTTTTTGCAAAACAAACGCCGAAAACAATAAGTTTTGTGCATTTCGTTCATAAATAACGTGACGATTGAATGCAAGAGTGGTTTCGAGTAATTGAGAAAAGTTTGGTTTTTCTATGAATTGAAATTGAATTTTATTATTTTTTCACAATTTGAATGACTGTTTGAATGAAATTTAGTTAATTATTACATATTTATAGATAATTATTATTAATATTATTATTATTGATATATTTTACAATACATTACAAGTTTCGATAATTATATTATAATTTAATACAAATTATTTTTTAAATTAAAACTAAAATAAATTTATAGCAAAAAAATTTATTTAAGATTAGATTAGAATTTCAAAACCAATTATGACTTTAAGTCGAAAACCATTGAATCGTATTCTTTGTCTCCATATTGTGCTAAAGAAGTGGTATTTGATTCGTCTGTTGAAGACTTTGTATTTATTTAAGATTAGATTAGAATTTCAAAACCAATTATGACTTTAAGTCGAAAACCATTGAATCGTATTCTTTGTCTCCATATTGTGCTAAAGAAGTGGTATTTGATTCGTCTGTTGAAGACTTTGTTTTATTAAGTAATACAGTCTTGAGTGTCATTCCCGACAATAACCCGAACATCAGTGCTGTGCCGTCAGGTGACAGTCGACAGCAACTGATCTGACTCTCGGGGGTGTAAACCATTAGACACGACCCTAAGTGAGACAATCACACGTTATAACAAATAATGCTATTTCTAACACAATTAAGTCATACCAGAGTCGAGTTCCCAAATCCTGATGTTAGGGTCAGAATTGGTCGAGTCATACGATAGGAAGAGATTAGTATTTTCCGCTGCCTGTAATACATTGGGTGCTGAGGTGTGTCCACTCAGAGTATGTCTGCATTTCGTATAAGAGATTCAATCAATTAATTCCAAGCCATAGAGCACTACAATTGGGACTGACTTTTTGGTACCGGTAGATAAATCCCATACTAAGACATCGCCACTGTCGACACCATTGATGACACAACCCGATTGCGTAGACATTGCAATACTCACGGAATTGCTTTCGGGTTTCCATTTCTTAAATAGTGTACCGCTTTGGAGGTCGTATACAATGATTGAATTGGGAGACGATGTGTTCAATTCCTAATACATGTGTTAATACAGTTTACTATTAATAATATATTCCATAAATCATTGCCAATAATTAGACATACTTTGCAAACACTGACGACATAATGGCCATCATTACTGATGGCAGACAATCGGGTAATGAATTCGTGATGAGGTATTCGCAGATCATAAAGTAGTTTACGATTCGTTAGGTCCCAAACCAATAATGGGAAGGGTTTTTGAGTTTCATCGCCGCAAACGCATATCTGTCCGTTTGCGCTGACGAGCAGACTATTGAGAAACCTATCCTCTCCTACTTTGAATGTCGTCTCCAAATCCTATATTTGGTGCAAATCAAACATTTTAGTCAATATAGGGATAGAGACGGCAATCGGTAATTCTAACCCCAGTTGTAATGTTAATCATGTTGACGTACATCCGGTTCCGAGAGAGTGCCACCACATACTTGTCCTCATGTAAGCCATAATAAGGCATTTTTTGATTCATAACTCCTTTTAATTTGGTTTCAAGCGTTCCCTTATTTAGATCATAAAGTTTGAGTTCGCGATCGCAGAGCACTACCGCCCGGAAGCGATCGGTCATTTTGACGTCTCGGGGCTGACTAATGCCCCGTACGGTACGAACGGCCCGCTCTTCGGCAATGTTCCAAACGCTCAATTCGTTAGAGTGTAATGAAATGGCAATCAAATGCTTGTTATCGTCTTTAATGGAAAATAATTGAGTATAACATCGATTGGCAGCGATTTCGGGCGAAGTGTTGCCCGAAACACATCTCGAGTCCGGACGCGAATAGTCCGAAATGGTTGGACTTGCGGTCGGCGGTGGGGGTGAGAGCACCACCGGCGAGGGGTTCATAAGGTGTTCATCGTTGGGAACGTCCACTTTGATAGTGGGCTGTTGTGAGCATTCTTTTCCTCGTTTTTCGTCCGTTATTTGTGGTACAGATTCGTGTGGAGCTGACTGTCCATCAGATCCGGGTTGGGATGCCTTCCCATACGGCAGACTAACTGTCGAACTCTTCCGGATTTCATTTACTCTATATATTATATACAATAAATATAAGACAACTTTTAATATAAATGTCAATTCTATTTAAGCGCTAAACAAATAAATCATAAATTTTATCAATTGGTAACAAAATAAATGCAAACAAATAGTTGTAAACTTAATTAAACAAATGAATGATGAGTTTATTTATT